AAACCTTTGCTGGAAAAATGAATTAACTCAGATATCTGGATCCAGAGTTGAAGGTTGAATTGAGTTGGGCCCAGCTTGGAAGGAAGAGTTCTTGAACAAGAAGTTGTGGAAGTGGTTGGCTCATCAGAGAAAGGGGAAAAAAAGCATGGAACCTCTAGAACTAAACTAGCGGGTGAGATATGGGTAAGTCAATCCAGAGTGATTGTGTGCAGAAGAAATTGAGGTGTTTTTTCCCATTGTTTTTACTACATTATGATGTACAACTAATATCAGGTAACTGGATTAACATAAATGCATGATGCGTATATAGAGGGAAAAAAGACAGGAGATACAAAAAAGATTTACTGCAATGTAAATAAAGAGACAGGTATGGTATGTGTTTCTTTCCTATATATATGTAATGTATACCATATTATGTTTATTGCTATTAAGATAAAATCCATCCAGATTTGATAAAATTGTGATCCCTGCTTCTGCTGTCTCATTATATGCCTATGATTTTTTTTTTTCTTATGGGGCAATTGAAGAGGCCTAGTTAATCCACATCTCAATTGTATTCTATCTAGAATTTTCCAGTGTTGCACATTTATTTTGGCTGCTAAGATTAAATAATAAAGTATTTTTAAGCTTGAGATTTAGTCCAGTAAATATATACAGTAAACTAAACTCTGGGGAGCATTTAGTTGTTTGGTGATGTTACCTCCTCCAAAAAATGTATCCCCAAAGGGTATAGTTTTATTACATGACCACCAGCATAAACTAGTATAAGACCATGTTGCTGAAGCTCCAATATTCCTATTGTTCCAAAGAGATTTGAATTAATACAAAAGAGCCTATCACCTTATCACCTATTCATTGCTCTATAGTTGATCTTTAGCGAGAGATTCCCATTACTATAAACATCTATAAAAATTGTATTTTCTAAAAAATACAAAAATAATTTTAACCAAACCTTAATAATTATTCTGTTCTGTATGTTATTAAAGAAGTTAAAGGAGAAATATCCTTTATCAAAGCTTCTGTCAACCCTGAAGCTGACCTGACCGAGGCCATTTTGAAGCTTCAGTGTTGTCACACTGGAGTTGAGGGATAGGGAGGGGGGAATAGAGATAGTTGGGGTTTGTAGTCAAAACAAAATACTTTCTCCTGGGAACAAAGGACATTCCCACACGTGGCCGGAGAGAGGAGTGAAGTTACCAGGTAACCGGATGACACCTTGATTAGACCGTGTGACTGATTATTTGGGGAAGGGGGAAAACTTTCACTTTTAATTACATGAAAACCGTGGGAACATTCAGAGTCGGTTTTCACCAGCCTGTGCCAATATGATATATCTAATAAAACTATTCTTTGAGGAATTGACCTGCCTCGGAGTTCTGTTTGCTATGGGAGTATTCAGTGGTGGGATTCAGCCAGTTTGGGCCGGTTTGGGAAAACCGGTTGTTAAATTGCGGGCTGGCACCGCCCCTCCCCTTCCAGGAGTCCTGACGCGCCCCATTTTTGCTCCCAGGTAAGTGCAGGGAGGCCTACTAGGCCCAAAATGGGGCACAGGGGTTGTTTTTGCTCCCACGAGGCTTGTTTTTGCTCCCACGGGGTTGCAGGAGGCCGAGTGCTGCCTGTCACACCCCCTGGCCACTCCCACCCAACTGGTCATTAGGGCAGAGAATCGGTTGTTAAATTATTTGAATCCCACCACTGGGAGTATTACTTGGAATCCTGACAGCTATGTCTTTACTTTCAAATTTGAAGCATTACTTTAGTGAAAACATTTACAATCTTCTTTATTCTAGAAAAATTGGGTTGGCCTTAATATGGTTTTAATTTGGAACACTGTTTAGGAGAGTTTTCCATAATAAATGGAGTCATATACCCTAATTGTACCACTTGATAATATATTATCAAATTAGGCATCTCTCTGTTTCTGAGGTCTATATAAAATCCTTTTGTTTATTCTCATTTTTTTCCCCATTAAAACAAAAAGTATTATTTATTTATTACCCATGTCTCCAAATCTGTCCTAGACTTTCCTGAAGCAGGCATCGAAATAGGAAGTTAAGCTGTGTAAAGATTTTCATTTTTACTTTTGCAATTCACCCTAAAACATTAAAATGTTTTGAAGCCCAGTTTTTCATTTCCCTATTTAATTTCTTCCATGTTGATATAAAATTAATTAAAAAAAATCATTAACATGTTTAGTAATAGTAATGCTTAAATATTTTGAGGCTGTATATACTATTGGAATACCTAAAATGGCAGAAAATTCCTTTTGAATTTTTGAGTGTGTATGGAAAAAAAAAACACATCAAATGTGATTTCTGAAAATTAACTAATAGTCTTGACACCTCTGCAAATTCTTTTAGCTCCTTCTCAATATAGTTAAATTGTGATGAAAATGATCTACACCTTCCAATTGCTCTTGAACAATCTGTCCTTTCTTTTTAATAATTGCACAGCTCTTGTTTCCAGTCTCTAAATTACTACTGACTTAGATTTCCCTGATTAGGTCATTTCATGTTCCTGGATTTAAATAAAATAAAAAAGCATAACCTCAGGTGAATTGTTTTCTTGTTTCAGGATGAACCTGTTATAGTCTAACTGTAATGAGGGGAGAATCCTGTATGTCAGGCCTGGAAGCCATCATTTGCATTTACTGCTGTGGAAAATTGGGAGGGGGAAATTGTATGGCGCAGGGATGATATATAGTCATAATAACATTCCTTTCTCAGAGAGTCAGACATTTTGCTCTACACCTGGAGGGCCAAAACTGAGAGGCATCTCCAGTTGGATGGTGTTTTGATTGGACCATGTGATGTACATGTGGGTGCTGGGCAGGGAGTTGGACTTTCCTTTGGGTGTGGAAAACCTGGAAGCTTTCAGATTTGGGTTTTCCCAGATGTGCCAATATGACATCTCTAATAAAATGGAACTTCTAGGAACTTCAAGCCTCAGTCTTCTTTTGTTTGGGGTGTTACTTGGAACCCTGACACTGTATTTGTATGGGCCAACAGGTGAGTAAGTATATTTTAAATTAAATTTCTCCACCCTTGACAATTTTGTCTACCTCAGCCTTTTCCAGCTCAATGCCCTTAAACTGGGTTGGGAATCACAACTTCCAGACCTCTTGGACAGCTAGTCGTCCCAAAACCTCTGCAGAAGAGACCAGGGAACTGGAATCTTTGGTGTATCTTGCTGATTTCTGCTACTGTCTTGTCTGGAATGCAGAATTGCAGAGTTTTTACTATATTGATTGGTTTGGATTTTTATTTTTTTTTGAGTCTGGTAGAGGACAAGGGAGCTTTTGAAACTTTTTTCTTAAACCGTTTTATTCCTTTGGGGGAAATAGAGATTGCAAGGACATGGAAATAGAGAGGAAACCCTAATGAAAAATTCTCAGTCTGCTTCCAAACTTTAGTTCTAGTGATTAGAATTATGATTATAATGGGTAGAATTATAATAGCCAGATATTGGCAATTAAATGTGAATTTTAGAATAGAAGAATGGTATTGTGAAATGTGGAAATTAGCTCTAAACGATAAAATGACATATGATATTAAAATTAGAAATGGTGACTATAAAGAAGATATTTTCTGGAAAATTTGGAAACCATTCGTGGACTATGTGCTGGGAAAATTGGATGCTTCGGTACCTGTACCCCGAGAACGTGGATTTTGGCGATCATGAGGATATATCCGAAGAACCAAATCTTCCTTTCTTATGTATAGCACAGGGTGAAGTATTGTATATGTTGTGTGTAATGTTAGTAATTAAAAAAAAAAAAAAACTTTAGTTCCCATTTCTTTAGAGGAATTATGATGGCTAAAGTTGCATATTTTACTGCAAGGACCCAGATTTTATTGGAAAGATCCCTATCTTTAGCTAAAGAGTATTTTGTGAAACCTGGGTTTGCTCAGCCATTAAAAAAAACCCCAGTATCTCCTTCTGGCTGTATTTACACAAACGCTTAAGTAGGCAAATTAAAAAAGTACTGATTGATTGCACAATCTATTAAGGTTAGTCAGCTTAAGTTTAGGATTTGAGGGGTTGTCGTATGTCAGATTAGTATGTTGTGCAAATTAGTTGCTATCATACTGTAAAGTATTACTTTTTCTCAGAGGAGAAGGACATAGCTTCAATTTTTTTCACCCTTCAGTCTCTTGGGCCTCTATTTTTCCTGATGTGGGGAACTCCAAAAAACGGGCAATGAAGATGAAACAGGAGACCAAAAGATTGCTGAAGATCTATCACCTCACATTGAAGGGAGACCCTGATTTACTTCTTCATAACACAACACTCTGTCTACATCAATGTTTTCCAAATTTGGCAAAGCACCATCTACATACTTCAAATGCTTTCATGTGGGGCAGAACGCAATCTTTCTCTTCCAATTTGCAAGCAGCCACTGGTCCAGTATTTCCATGATCTTCAGTGCCTAAACCATCCAGTCCAGGGTTGTCTATAACATACAGCAGTAGTTCTTAGGAGGAGCTTCCCAATCCTATCTGAAGATGTCAGATGGTTCTTTGGCATTCATATCTCTCGAACAGGGATCTCCAAATCTTCAAACTTGGCAACTTTAAGACTTGTGGACTTCAATTTGCAGGATTCCCACCCAGCATGATCTAGAATTACAAACATGTTCCTGGTTTGTTTGGGGGCTTCAGATTATTTAAGGGGCTGCGCATGGAACAATCATATTTCATTCCCAACAAGTTTGGGAAAAAGTGTCCACGCTAAATCCAAATTAATTTCAGTTAGGTGTGGAATTAAAAATATAAATACCCAATATAAGTATTTACACTTTTCTACTTCTCATAATTAAAAAACAACAACTACTCTAAAGCAGAGTCACAAATTCTTTATAAAGAGTCACAGCAGCAGTCAGTAGTCTAACTAACCTTCAGAATCCTGCCTCAACTTTGGGGTCCAAAGACCTCTTAAGAAGCTATCATCTTTTTTATCAGCCTACGGCAAGAAAGACAAACACAACCTCAGGCAAAGAAAAAAATTAAATGTTTTTATTAAACGTTAAAGAATAACAGAAAGATTTGGGCTGAAAAACATACAGAACACAATTCATGTCATGACGTACATTTAATTTGATCTTGTTTGTTAAACTCTTTGTGAACAGAGCTCTCCTATGAGGTTGCCAGAAATACAACGGTTGAGAGAGAAAAAAAAGTGGAACATTTTCCCAAATAAATCAAAAATACCAAAAGCTCGTTCTTGCTTTTCTCAAACAACACACATGCTAATGCAAGTGTGCATACATGCACACATACCACGTACATACAGTTTTTGAAGCAAGAATATAGGCCAGGGGACCAGTTAACTCAAAAGATAAGGCTAAGTTTCATTCATTAATAACTTACCAAACTCTTACTTAGAAGTAAGCCCACTGTGTGCAAAAATACTAGAGCATATACAATTGTAGCCTAATTTACATCTCACTCCAGCAAATAATGTGCAGTCTTAAAATCAATGGAGCACTGAAACAACAGACCACGTGTACAGATGACGTACACTCCTTACAATACCAGAGGGTGGAAAAGCTGTGGCCTTCCTGTTTTAGCCAACTCTTTGCTGTACTGGCCGAGGCTGATGGGTATGCAACATCTGCACGACATCTGGGGGGGGCGACAGTTATCTGCAACAGTTTTCAGAACTGATGAAATGGCCGGTTCTGATAATCATTTCCTGAGAGATCAGGAATGTTTCTTGCAAACTCTTTGCCAGAAGATACACTGGCTTCTTGGTGCAGATAACTATCAGTCCTTAAGCAGATGCCTTCGGGAAATATTAGGGCTACGGACTTGCTGGTTGGTATGGCTTTGGGCTGGTTCAAAGTATGGGCAATATATTCCCATCACATTTGGAATGCATCCAGTTGGGAGAGGCTGGTAGATAGGATTTGGAAGAAGACATCTCTTATTCCAATGTCAGCTTGATCCACAAGCCAATCCAGATCTAGCTAGGTAATTTGAAATGTGCAGGCAGCTCTCAGGTTTCAGGTCTGATCAGTGGTCTACTGCTGTTGGCCTTGCTCTAGTTTCTGCCCGTCTCTGGAGAATTCATCCTCATTTGCCCTGTGTTCAAGTCACAGCTGACTTACTCCTGTCCTCATTTATGTTTTTTCTTAACTAGTTTCTCTCGGTTTGTTCTTTTGAGAGAAGTTTATCACTTACCTATACAGATTCATAGGGTAAAACCAAATAAACTAGCAGGCCACGTTGAAGATCAAAATTGGAAGCCAAAAAAAAAAGCGTGTTTTGAGGGCAGATTAAGTGTGGGCATCTGGTTGCTTTGCTGTGTGTTCAAGAGGTTGTATTGTGTGTAACTATGGATTATTCACAGAAGCCACTGTATAATTTGACTTGATATAGTTGTCCTGTCTAGAAATTAAATGATCCTACAATGATGAAGTGACTGGTGTTTCCAATATTAACTGCTCTGTATCCAGGAGATCTTTACATCTCAAAAAAATTTCCAGATTAGTGAAATTGTATTTCTTTAAAGGCTCTATATCCATCGTTGAGATAAAACTTTCTAGCCTGCAAAGTATCTTTGTTAATTTGATTTTCCATACTGGCACCTCCAGACAAGACAAAATTATGAGTCAGACCATTACAATATTTGGGATTTGGGGGAAATGAACAGAGCTTCTGTTCACAACTTCTTAAACTAGGTTTGTTTTACACCCAGTGAAAATTATTATCATCTTAATATTTATTTTTACTTTCACACACAGATAAACATTTAGAAAGAAATATTTACTGGCCAGTAAAGTATCGTTTATCCCCTAAAGATGATTACTCAGCTGAAATAATGGTCCAAAAAAACAACAATACTCTATTAAAGCATTTAGGATACTGAGATATATTTTCAATCTTTCCGGAAAGTCCTCTAAAAATGGCAACATTTCTTTGTAATTGTCCAAAACTTTTGTTTAAATCACTTTTAATATAATGTGATCTTATGTAACAGAAATGCACTTGTTTTGGTGGGGAAAAAAAAGTGATCTAGAAAGACATGTGGCACTGTAATTTTATGATGTGCAGTGTTTTTAATGCACTAAAAAAAATACCCCTACATCTTTTCCTGTAATTCACCAATTCAAAAAAAGCACCTCTTCAAGTATAAATGAAAGCCAAGTATGCCTCAGGTACGTCATGTCATGGCTTTGCTCATTCTTGCATTCAACCAGTGAGAGAATGAGCCTGGACAAGAAAATTGAAACAACGGACCTCTAGAAGATGCCAGAAGGAAAGTAGTAATAATAAAGGAGAATACTTGTAGCTCAGGGTTGACATGAGAAAGCAGTAAGCATGAAGACAGGGTGGGGAATCTGTGCTGTCTAGATGTTGTTGAACTTGTTGGCCAGTATTATCCAACATGGGTAAGAGTAAACAATGAAAAGCTATGTGGCTCCACAAGCAGAAACAACTGCCTTACAGAAAATTCTGGGCGCCAAAATTGGCACAAGAGGAATTCAGTCTGGCCTCTTCTCTAACATGTGAAATGATTCTTACTGCTTCTAAATGGTCCCCCAAAATCAAACACCCTTTCTAAACCTGGAGAAGTACACAGAGCTACACTGCTGTTCACCTAAGAGAGTTGTGGCTGGCTGGGAATTTTGGGTGCTACAGTCCAATGCAACTAGAAGTCCAGTATTTGGGAGGTACCTGACGCAGAGTGCTTACCTGCTCTCCACTGTATTGAGTTGAAAAATAGGCCTTCTGTTCAGTTGCCTATTGGGAAAGGTTTGGGCAGACACTCCAGCCTTCCCAGCTGATGTCTTTTCAAAGAAACTTGCTTCAATCTGCAAGAACCGTAGGTACTTTTTTTTTTTCCCCTCTTCAAACTCTCACCATGGATACAAATCCAAGGGGTGTCAAACTTGCGTCATCACATTGTCGTCATGTGACGTATCGTGACTTTTCTCCCTTGGCTAAAACAGGTGGGCGTGGCCAGTGTGTGACGCATCTGGCCCGCAGGCCACGAGTTTGACACCCCTGCAAAACCTCATCATGGGATGCAAAGAGGATTGATATAATGTAAGCTCTATGAGCATTATTATTCATGCTGCCCAATCCCCAATGTATTTGCACCCCTGAAGCCCAGTTAATTGTCCAACCAATTAACTGCATTTTTTAAAAAGGATCGTTGAGTTCTATTTGCACAGAACAAATTTGAAAGACTGCAGCAGACACGCAGAAAACATTTTAGAGTCCCGTCCATCTCTATAAGGCCCCAGACACTTTTGCATGGAAGGTTTACACAAGGCTGGCAGGAACTGTACAGACCTTTATGGGGAAAGGGGAATGTGCACAAGCCTCTTCTCATACATGGGCAGTTGCTAAAGTGGGGTACACTAAGAAAAAGAGGGAGGTAGAGCCTTCTATTGCACCCAATGAGATCCTTTCAGAAGCAAGCAACTGAGCCCAGTGACATGGATCATTCTCTAACTGAAAACACAAAACTATGTTAATGTGCCAGTGGCAAGCGTACAATATCATCATTTTTAAAAAAGCCCTAAAAGCATTTCTTCAGTTTTCAATATTTATGAATATAGAGATATATTGTCATCTTTAAAGTGAAATAATCTAGTTTTTTTAAACCCCCTCTTTGCTTAAACATGATATATATATAATTCTTTTTCCCAAAATACCGAATCAACATTTGTCCTTGAAAAATACTGTACAGAAAAAAAAGCACACTCTAAAGATTCCGTATAAATTTTATACATTTTATAATAATCAATTTCTTTTGGTCTTCAGGAAACATTTAAAAGAACTGAATTAACCACAGTATGACAACACCACCGCTTTTCAATATATATCTGCATCTCTTACATTCATTTCCTTCCCACCCTCCAAAAATACTTTTATATAATATATATAAGTTTAGAAACAAATCATAGCTAAAAAAAAATAACAGGAGAATCTTTGAAAACAATCAGCTGATCATACAATCACAGCAGCATGTCAAGGCAAAAGAACACAAACGAACAACCCCTGCAAAAGTGAGTTCTAAATGAATCAAAGCCATTTGGTGGGGGAAAGAAGAAAAACCTTGCAGGTGGGAAATCTATAGAAATTATATTGCACACTGCAGACTAAAAAGCTGAATTCAAAGCCTTTCATAAGAAAGAAGAATTTCAGAATGTCTAATGGAGAGTCTCAGTCATCCAGGTCATGGTTGACCAAAAGGTGCTTTTTCCAAAGGCAACTGGTTTCCTGTTGTTTTTTTCCTTGAAGACATTTTGCTTCTCATCCAAGAAGCTTCTTCAGTTTTGTTCAGTTTGGAAGAACTAAAGAAGCTTCTTGGATGAGAAGTGAAAAGGTCTTCAAGGGAAAACAAAGAAAGTGCAGTTGCCTTTGGAAAAAGCACCAACTTAGTAAGAAATTTAAAGTAATAATTATACACCGTCATTAAGGGAAAAAAAAGGGGGGAAAATAAGTTCTTGTATATATGTGTACTTATATACAATATATATTCCTTATTTGTTGTTTGTTGATATTGTTGATTGTATTTTAAGGTTGTGAATGTTTTATACAATTTTATGTTTTTTTAAAAAAATCTAATAAAGTTTGTTTTTAAAACGAAAAAAAAAAGAAAAAAAAAAGAAAAAAGCACCTTTGGGACAAGAATTTCAGAAATTGAACATCAGTGGAAATTTTAAAAATGCAGTCTGCTGAAACTCCAAAAGTAGTCTGTCAACCTTGAAGTGTTTTGCACACCTGTATAATTTAGTGTTGTGCCCTGCACATCACAAAAAAAGGGGAGGAGGGCTGGTACAAGCAAAAATTTAATTCACCTTAAGGCAGGAATATGCTTTTGGCCTTATCCATACAGCATAAATGGATAGTGTGCAGATATCTGATGAATATGTTTTTGCTTGTCTGGTAAGGGATCATTTTTAGTCGAACTATCAAGAAATCTTTAATGTTTTAGGAAAAAGAGCACTAAAAAGTTACAGTATTAGGGTTCCAAAGTCATCCAATGCCCACAAGAAATATTTTAATCTGTACAAGAGAATTACGGATTATGCCCAGGGGATGCGGTCTATTTATAATTTTAAAGCAACGAAAGGAAAGTTAGCTGTTACTTATTTCTCTACAAGGAGGATATAAAATACATAATAAATCTGAAGATCTACTTTATTTACCAAAATGTAAAAACATACAGCAAATGAAAACTGAAACAAAATAAAAAGGCGAATCTATAAATTAGTATCTCTGCAGTATAGCATGAATATCAATTGTGCATTTATTATCAGTAAGTTTACACTGCCTGATGTGCCTTATTGAAATAACAAACCAAAACAGCTTTTTCTTCTTTCTCTTGTTCATTCCCATTACCAGGGTGCTTTTCTTTCATTTTCTTTCTTTTCTCCCCCCCCCCCGCCCCCAAGTTAAATCAAAAGAATGGGATAGAGTAAGACAAAAATACAGTTTAAGCAGCACTGGAAAATATATACATACATATCTAGATGCATGTATTCCATAAAAAGTTTAGTATGGCCAGTCTCAGCCAACCCAACCCTACAAAGAGGGTTTCATAAAAACACAAGAGCCAAGACAGACATGCACACTTATTCACAAGTATGCCTGCACGGGTGTGCACAAGCACACACGCGCACACATACACACAGGCTGTACACTGGTTCTGTTTCTGCTTTCTGTTAAAGTGCCCATGACTGAAAAGTTGGTTTGGGTGAGGTGCTATCAAACAGGAAAAACACTGTCCCATCTATTTAAATGCCAAAACCACAAAATTAAAAAAAAAAAGGTAGATGGGAAGAAAAGAAACAGGGGGATGGTGGTGGATGGGACTGGGGGGTTGGGTAGGAGACCATTTAGAGAGGACCATGCCGAGCTTCATACTTGACAAGGACGTTCTTGCATTTGCCCAATTCTTTCCGTAGGTCAGCAACCTCCTGGCGCAGGGCCGTATTCTCCTTCTCAAGGAACGAGGCACGGATAGCAATCTGGTTTTCCTTCAGCCTCCGGGCATCCCTGGATCGTTTGGCAGCCATGTTGTTCTTTCTACGTCTTGCCCAGTATTTGTCATCCTGCTCATTAATCACAGAGGAAAAAAAAAATCGGTGTTAGATTTCAGAAGAGGAATAGAGACCTGAAAGGCATCAGCAGGGTTGTAGGTATCCTGTTGTGTTCAACTCAAACATTGTTGTGTTGAAAAGCAAGTGCAATATGACAATATGGGATATCTTCTAAAATAGAAATAGATACAAACTACTTATCTACTTGTACAGTTTGTATTTTAATGTTTCTTTTTAAGAGATAGATAGATGGATGGATGGATGGATGGATGGATGGATGGATGGATGGATGTTGGATGGATAGATGATGATAGAAAGAAATAGATAAGTTAATAAATGATAGATAGATAGATAGATAGATAGATAGATAGATAGATAGATACATACATACATACATACATACATACATAGATGATAGACAGACAGATTGATATAAATTAAAAGGATGATATGTGTTAAGATACCACGTAAATTACTGGAGTCTTCATGATCTAGCAAAATAACAAGGAGATAAGGAGACTTTTAAATCTTTAGACTTTTATTGTATACTGCCCAGAGTCCCTCTTTGAAAGTGTGAAAAATAAATGAATAAAATTTGAGGCATCTTCCTGATCCTGGCATCCAATGGAATGATAACCCCTAGCATCCTAAGTTAATCAGGGTGATTGATGGGAGCCAACGCATCAAGAGGATGCCACGTTAGGAAGACGGGTGAAAAAAAAAAATCAAAGAGAATCAGGAAAAGGATTTAGCAGAGGCCAAAACTTCCCCAGTTTCTTTGATGGAACTCTTACTCTTTTCTCTCAATTTAAATGATAAAAGTTCCACTCTTCCATTTTAAATAGTAAAATTCCTTTGGTGCTTTTTAAGATATGAACTTAAATCTTACTTAGCACTCAAAAGTAAGTGTCAATAAATTCACTGGAGCTTACTTCCAGGCAACTGTGCAAAGGATCACATGTCTGCTCCGTAAACCTATTTGTCAGTGGATCATATCTTGGCTGTGAATATCTTTTAAATCAGGTTTTTAGCAAAGTACTAGGTCCTAGGTGGAGGACCTAGTACTTTGCTAAAAACCCGAGTTAAAAGATATCCTATGAGGAGGAAAAATGAATAAAGTTGGATATAAATGTGTAAATCAGATGGAAATGACTAGGAATCAAGAGGAGCTAGCATAATGACTCCTGCACTTCATAGCTTTTCCCTGGGCACTACTGCTCTAACAGTGATAAGGAGGAAGTCTTTTTAACTTCTGTTTTCCTTATACTCATTTTCCCCCGCAAATGCCATCCTGAGAATAATGTTGAACTGACAACCAAAAGTCACTTCAGCGTGGTCAGAATGTATTTATGTATTTAAGAGACTTATATGGCTATTCATCTTATGCGCCATAATCCTGGACGGCTTGCAGCACCAGGGATAAAAAAAAAACAATAAAGCTGGTATCTAAATAAACAACCCTTGGCAGCCCAATCCAACACTCGCCAATGAATTTAAAAAAAAAAAACTACAATCATTAGATTCCAGCTTCACCTCACTGGAAAAAAGCCTTTTAAAACTTTCTGGAAGGTTCGAAAAGTGGGGACAACAGAGGGAGGGTATTCTACAGGGCAGGATCTATCTATTCTGCTGAAAATATTTCTCACAGCAACCCCACAGAGGCTTTCCTGGTCTCTCCTTGCCCAGAAAAGACCTGGTCATCTGAAAGAAGGCACATCAGTTGCCTGGGACGTACCTATTGAACAGAATCAATAGCTGAGCCCAATAGCCTGACTCCAAAATTAAAGAGTTTAAGATTGCCTAATGAAGGTCTCTCTTTCTAGCTAGAAGGATGGGAAGTTGCCTCATGTATTTCTGCAGTGCCTCCTTCCCATCTCTTTCCTCTCCAGAAAAAAAAAGCAACTTTAAATTCAATTCATTCCTGTATTACCAAGGCCACGCATACCTCTTATATTAAAAAAAATTACAAAAACAAAAACTTTTAATCCCATCCTGAAAGGACAGCAAACATCTGAAATCACATATAGTCCAGGAGACTATCAATGGATCTAATTTGTGCTTGCCTCTCTTTACCTGAATCCTGCAACCAATTTAACCAGAAGCACAAGCTCTGGTCAAGCTTTTTGCTAAGAATGGAATAAGATGAAGCAACACAAATGCCAGGAAGTCCCTGTCTGTTATTTCAATCCATAAAGATCATCAGCAACTCATTTCTAAGACTTCTGCATTTAATGGCTGGAAAAGTCATTTAAAAAAAACAACAATAACAACCACCCTCCCTCCTTTGTTATTCTGTTCCCAGTTTAATATTTCTGGGATGAATGCAAAGACTTTTGATGAACGCAGAGAACTTAACTTTTTCAAGACCACAGAATTATATACCAAACAAGATTGGATTTTTTTTTTTAAAAAAAGGTGACTCTTTTAAAATAATGGAAATAATACATGATGTAATAACTCAACTTGCTTAAGGGAATTAGCACCTCTACCTCACCTGAGTTGGCTCTTTTTAGCTCTGTCACAAATCTTTCTGAACAATCTCTACAGTGCCTGTGCATTTTAAAAGCCTGGGATTTAGAAGCAAGATTTATCGCACCTGCAATTCTTCATAGTTATCCTATTTATAATTGGTACATCGTATGACCAGCATTCTGAGCTCAGAGAAGAATTGAGAATTTCAATTCAAGATCTATTCCTTTGGAAGTAGCCTCACTGAGCTACATCTGGTTTCAGGTAAAAAGCACACCACATTTCCCTGAAAGGAAGACAATCTTGAATTTAAGGTGATCCCACCTTGTTTACTAAAAGGAAGGGTACAAAAATTAAAATGAAAACAGGAAAAAGACCTCTGCAATTTCCAGTTTCCTTAGATTGAGTATCTAGGATTGTCAACTCCAGCTGAACCCACTCTTGGAGATTCAGTCAGACAGCTCTCTTTCACTGATTCTCCTAATACGGTATTTGTTTATTCCTGCCAAATGTAACCGTACCACATCAAATTGCTGTCCTTCCTGTCTCTATCACAAGCATGGGAGAGGCCAGAAAAAGACACGGTTTCTTTAAAATAGTTATCAATGCATGTGACCTCTCTACCTGTGCATGCTCCAATTTACCTTTTCCCTCTGTACAGCCCTAGACACCAGTCCCAAGTTACCTTCAGATCTTCGGGAATGAAGACTTTGCGAGCTTTCTTAATCATCGGCTGGGGCTTGAGCTCCTCCTCAGAGAACTTGCGCTTGCGAGGGTCAAATATTTCCTGACCAGGAATGCTAGAAAGAGCAAGATCGGCAGGGTCTGGTTCATACCCAACTTGAACCTGAATGCTGTCGGGATCAATAGGACTTGGCGTGCTTCGGTTTGTAGGCAAGATCTGACCTGAAGAAACCAAAAAAATAAAAAAATAAAAAATTGAAGCTTTATCAACAGAAGAAAATATTGATAGCTCGGGGTTGAACTGTAGAGTTCTTGGTGCTCTCTGAGCTTGGTGGTTTTCTTGCAGACATTTCATTACCCAACTAGGTAATATAATCAGTGCTAGAAAGGAATGAAGCCCCCGTTCCTTTCAAACACTGATTATGTTCCCTATGTTCCCGTCTGTACTACTGTAACGCTCTCTACATGGGGCTCCCCTTGAGGAGCACCCGGAGGCTCCAACTGGTCCAGAATGCGACCGCGCAAGTGGTTATGGAAGCGACTCGTTGCTCCCGGGTAACACCTCTCTTGCGCGAGCTGCATTGGCTCCCAGTGGTCTTCCGGGTGCGTTTCAAAGTGTTTGTCACCATCTTCAAAGTGCTCCATGGCTTAGGACCGGGATACCTACAGGACCGCCTTCTACCACCGAATGCCTCCCACCATCCAAAACGCTCTCACAGAGAGGGCCTCCTCAGGGTGCTGTCGGCCAAGCAATGTCGGCTGGTGACCCCCAGGGGGAGAGCCTTCTCTGTGGGGGCTCCTGCCCTATGGAATGAGCTGCCCCTGGATATAAGAAGGATCCCCGACCTCCGCGCCTTCCATCGTGCTCTGAAGACTCAATTGTTCAATCAAGCCGGCCTGACCAAATAAATTAATGTTAATGGGTTTTAAATTGGTTTTAAAGGGGTTTTAGTTAAGGGTTTTAAAAAACGGCCAAATTGCTTTAATTATTTTAACAGTTTTTAATTTTTGTGATGGGTTTGTTTTAATATGACTGTACACCGCCCTGAGTCCTTCGGGAGAAAGGCAATATAGAAATGTAATTAAATAAATAAATAAATAAAATACTTTGGCAATACAGCATTACTATATCCTACAGTGGACAGGGCAAGCCGGTGTGTATGAACAGAGAGCAAACCCCACTCCCTTCTAGCACTGAAGGGTGGGAAATGAAATATCTGCAGGACAATAACTAAGGTCTCTAAAGAGACCAAGGACTCCACGAACGATGCTTTGGAACAATACAATAATAATATTGCTCAATTAACCACCTTAACCCCTACAGACTATAATCTGTCACATTTCCACTTTCTTGTCCTCTAAGTAAGTTGGTGCTTACACCCCATCTATTCAGGAAAGCAAGCCCTGGTCAGTTTGTAATATTCTTTGTCTTCTTTCTGCTTTTAACTGGATGCTCTCAAAACCATGTTCACCGGACTATCTGAGAACATAAGAAGAGCCAATATTCTGCCACAGAGTGGCCAACTAAGCCGACTTAGGAAGGACAGACACATGGACAGGAGAGCAACTGCCCTTTCCCATTCCTATTCTCTAGCAATTAGCATTAAGTCATTCTGTCTTTGACCCAAGGTGTAAAGGTACCAAGAATAATATCAACTTATATATATTCTAATATTGCTACAGTTATTTGGTAGACACTGGTGTTTATATCACAGAACAGCATTTTAGAAAATTTAAGTCTGAGACATAATGAGAAGCTTAGTCTCCAACTAAGAATAGCCTCAAGAACTGAATCCAGTTTATCTCTCCTGTTTTCACTTAAGGCCAGTGGTAAAATTCAATTTTTTTTACTACCAGATCTGTGGGCATGGCTTGGTGAATGTGGTGTGGCCTGGTGGGCATGGCAGGGGAAGGATATTGCAAAATCCCCATTCCCTCCCCACTCCTGGGGGAAGGATATTGCAAAATCTCCATTCCCACCCCACTCTGGGACCAGCCAAAGGTGGTATTTGCTAGTTCTCTGAACTACTCAAAATTTCCGCTACTGGTTTTCCAGAACCTGTCAGAACCTGCTGGATTTCACCCCTGCTTAAGACCCATTAGCAATTAAGATATTGGAATGGGAGCAGGGAGACCCAAGTCCAGCTCCATTCTTAGCCAGGGAAGTTCCCTGGGTGAGTTTCGGTTGGGAATTCCCTCTCAGTCCAGTTTACCTCACAGGATAGCTACTGTGGTGAAATATAAGAGGGGGCGCTGTTTACACTACTTCAAGCTGCTAAATGAAAGATGGAATATAACACAAATAAAATAACCCAGACTACCTTAGCATATGAGAAAGTAAGACCATCCGTAGTGGCCATGAGGATGTCACATACATGCCATCTCTTGGATGCCCAGAAAAAGATTCCTCTTGTGAGTGTGATGCTTTGGGTGAGATAACTCAACATGGCACCATTCAGGCTCCCATATGGAAGTAAGAAAGATTTACTAAAGCTTGAATAAGGATTGAGAACGCCCAAGAATAGGAACAGACCAAGTCAGAATGTGTACCTGTTCTGGGATGACTTCAAATCCTAATTCTGAATATTGGCTGGTACTTCCCAATATAGACCAATCCCTGGAAGTCAGGGGCATGCTAAAGTATCAGGTGACATATTCATCACTTTACAAAATGGAGCAGGTCGTGAAAATAATATAGATCCCCTCTTTGAAACTGTTGTCCACATTCAGCCAACCCCTCTACGTAAAATATTGGCTCATTGCACTAGCCAGCAGTAGCCAGCAGTAGATCCAGAGTGGCCAATAAGGTTGAAGAGAAAGTTAAGATTTCTCCCTTTATTTTATTAAATGAATGTTTTTATAACGTCTCCATGCTACTTCAAATAATTCTTGAGTTAGAAAAACTGGACATAGGAATGCCAGATCAGCACCTGTTCTCTCTCTTGAACGGCTGATCGGTCAGATTGACTGTTGGTGCGCTGAGCCCTGAAAATCAGATTATGTAAGGAAAGTTGGGATCCATTTGCACAGCTCTTTCCCCATCCATATGCTCATTTGCTCATCTCCTTTCCATATGCTGCACAAGTGACACATCTCTGACCCTTACATGCATTGTTCTTTGTCAGCTGGGGTTTGTGCTCAAAACAGACAAAAATCATCTCAAGTGTGAGTCCCTCGAATCGCTCGTTGCAGTACACTATGTATTGCTTTCGAAAACAACAGGACATTACAGGAGAAAGGTGCAGATTAGGGAAAGTTGTTTTTGGAGGGCACAAAAGTGTTAATCCCATGGAAGTTGTGTCTTGTCTAATTCCTTCTAGAAAGCAATGCAATAGTGTTTGCTGGCAGAGAGGGCCGAAAAGCCCTGGGGAGAAGTTCTCCGCCATATTTATTTTTTTTAAAAAACAAAAACGGAGAGATCCAGAGATTCATCTCTTGTACCAATAATAGAAAGTTTCCTTTTCACACTGTGGGGCCGGGATGCTCGGTGCCAAGGTGCTGAAAAATGGGCATATGCTGTTTTAGTTTTGCTAACTGAACAGATGATGATAGTGAGGATAAAATCGAAAAGTGGCATTTGATGATAGGCTTAGCCTTGTTTACACATCTCATTTGTGACAGATGCCAAAAAACCTCCTTGGCAGTTGAGCAGGAAACCAAGAATTCTTGGTTCAAGCACAGCCTTCAACCCTCTCCTTCAGACTTTCCTCAAGGATATTATTATAATAATGGATGGTCGGTCATGCTTTATTGTACAGGTAGTCCTTCACTTGTGATCACAATTGAGCCCAAAATTTCTGTTGCTAAGCGAGACAGTTGTTAACTGAATTCCCCCCCCAATTTTTCGATCTTTCTTGCCATGGTTATTAAGTGAATCACTGCAGTTCTTAAACTAGTAATACGGTTGTTAAGTGAATCTGGCTTCCCCATTGACTTTGCTTGTCAGAAGGTTGCAAAATGATCCCGGGGACACTGCAGCAGTCATAAATACGACGCAATTGCCAAGCTTCTAAATTTTGATTATGTGACCATGGGGATGTAAGTGTGAAAAATGGCCATGTCCCTTTTTTCAGTGCCGTTGTAACTTCAAATGGTCACTAAAGGAACTTTTCTAAGTCAAGGACTACTGGTATTCAGACCATTCTGCATAAAGTTACATTTGAAATCCATTATATATTGTAACCATCCACTAACAAATATGGAAGTTTTCATGCAACTGAAGCACTTCTATTTCGTGTGAGTGACATGGATAATTTTGGCTGTGATATTCCGAGATGCTCTTTGAATATATATTTAAACACAGCATGAACACTCCAAATCTATATTGTTCTCATGCTCTCGCTTGTACTGTTGTGATACCAAAAGCAAGACTGTGGGATGTTGCGGGAGAAAATGCATTTTGCATCCTGCCAAACTGGTTGCACCTATTACACCATTTCATAGATTTCAAAACCAAACCTGTGAATTCAAACATAAACTCGCTGAACTATAGCCCATATTGATGTACGTTGCTACAGGATTTGAAAAAGTTGCCATTCCTCACTTACATAGCAGGGGTTTGTGTTTGCTTGTGTGTGTAGGGTGTGCATGTAAGTGACAAACAGGCTCGTCCTTCCTATGAATGAGAGAGATTTCTCTTGATCTATTTTCTGACCTTTGTATTAAATACTGTGTTGCTTTGTGATAATTTCTCTACCAGAAACATGGCTTTAACAATAAAACTGCCTACCGGCTATTAACCTCTGTACGGTGCTACAGCTCAACCCACTAAACACGCATGGCCAAATTACGTCCCCCTCCAGTTCACAATGATACAAACATGCCTACCGAACCTTCTGTAGGATCTGTTCTTGTGCCTCAATTTGGGATGTTTAAATTCTCTTCAGTTCAAGGTGGGTCAAAGGAGGACAGTGTGAAAAAGATCACATGCCTCGCAGAAAGAGCAGCAGAATAACTCTGCATCAGCACACTGTGCAGCTGCGACAACAACACCCAACTACAAGAGATGGTCAGCAGACCAGAAAGGCTGCAGGGTAGGATCAGCAGGATTTCTTCCTAAAGTTAAGGCAAAATATTTGGTTCCACATTACAGCTCTCTGAAGCTGCTATTCATGCTCACTTTTGATTCTAATTCTATCTTAATTAAGCAGATAAATTCAACTGAACAGAAGGCTGGTCCACCCCCTGAAAATGAATACACAATCAATTGGATGCTCAGCAGA